GTAATAATAGAGATGAATTAACCGGCTTCGAATACATTCTTCTCCGTCTTTTTACAAAGTCTGTGAGAACGTTAAAGTGAATCTCAAGAAAATTAAAAGTTGAAATGATGTGAAAATTATCACAAATGAACACAATTTGAACACAATCAAAGTAACAAGACACGATGCGGAATAAGAGAAACAGCATGGAAAAAGGAAGGGAGAGCACGAAGAGAAGATAAATAAAACGAAAGATAGAGAGAAGGTGACTCGATGCGTTTGGACCCGATAAAACAAACCCCGAAGTTTTTACAAACAAATTATTTTAAAGCTTCTGTTTTTATGTTCTTGAAATTGTGTTTCGCTTGATACACATGTGAAATGGGAGATTCCGAACCGAAAAAGTACAAGGAAATAATGTTATTTTCACTCTTTCTGCTGATATACCGTTGTGTGTTTTGATTATGAACAGAGCACGCTTAAATTAATTAAATAGATGTCATTGTTGCTCGTTTCCTGGATAACTCTTGCATTGAAAATATATCCTAAAATTGAAATATCTGTCAAGTGAGTTTTGTTTACATGAACATTAATGCATTAGCGTATCTGTGCGTGTGTGCGTTTCTCTGTGTGTGTCTTTGTGTGTGCGTGTGTGTGTATGTGTGTGTGTGTGTGTGTGTGTGTGTGTGTGTGTGTGTGTGTGTGTGTGTGTGTGTGTGTGTGTGTGTGTGTGTGTGTGTTTATGTTGTGTGTGTTTTTTTCATCGGGTGTATATCTCTCTACACAGATGGGCGTACATGCTAATTGTCACATGTCTGGGCGCGCATCCCAAGCACGCCCATCTGCGACGGAAGAGCGGCCATTGCGTCCCGCGAGCGGCCTTTTCCCGAAGCCGGCCGCCTCCTTCCGGAATGGCGGTGCTCTGTCCTCCCTTCATGCTCGGGGCCTCGATTTCGCGCGAGGATCCTGAGTCAACCTTCTGCTGGAGAAGCATCCAGGGTTAACAGGGTAAGGAATGGAAACTTATGAGGTGTCAGTCCTTAACGTTTTATTGATTACATACATTTCTTTACAATATATACACATTCAGTGGGAAGAGAACCCACACTTAGAATTATTTTTACATAGTCGCTCTGGAACACGAATCAGCTGTAGTTACACTCAACATACTTCACCTCCCCTCTCCTGTCCCCTCTCTTTAACATTAAAAAGTAACACTTACTTGGACACTCACGATAAGAAAGATAATAAAGGGAGGTAGAAATATATGTCAAGACAGCCACAGACAGACACACAGGAAGAGATGATATGCAGGGGTGGAAATCATAAATGTAGATGGCGGAGTCGTTCGCTTAACATGATATTTCTGATATGCGAAATCTTCTGGATTTTTTTTCCGCTTTTTAATGTTTCAAGTTTATTTACACTTTACATTAATCGATACATCTACGGTTAACAATGAGGCATATGGTAGTATCTCACTTATATTCTAGGCTATCAACACACAGTGTATGTAGAATTCAAAATCGGCTTCAGTCTTGTTCCAAAAGCCTTTCACAGCAGCTTCGCAGAATGAGGAGACAGACGCTGATATTTCCCTTGTCCTTCCCCGCCCGCTGCTGCGCCGACCGCGTCTCACCACGCATCGGACTCGGGGATACTCTTTCCTTGTCCCGTATTTGGACGTCTAGGTGAGTCGTATATCAAAGTTAATATCAATGTAATATACATGTGTGTGTATATATATATATGTATATATATATATATATATATATATATATATATATATATATATATATATGTATATATATATATATATATATATATATATATATATATATATATATATATATATATATATATACATACATACTTCCATGCAGTGAATCCAGTGAGAAGAGAAAAGGCTCAGGCCCGTTCCCCCGCACGCACTCGCAGCCCGCTGTCGCAGGCCCGGTGATAGCCCGCGTCCAGACTCCAACATGGCTACAACGTCTGTCCATTACCCGCTAAATTACATTTTCATTTGTTTATGGCTGCGGGACAGTTGTGCTGGCTTGCCTGGCTTTTTCGTCGACTTCGTGTTGAATTACTGTTTAATTTGCTTGTGGAGTATGTTATTTTTCTTTCCCTTTTACACGAGTCCTCTTATCACTTCACACAATTAAAACTTTTACATCTATCATCATTCGTGTGTTGCTCACGTCACCGAGAGAGACGGTGTTTAAAGCAGATATAGCATGAACTTTATTTAGATGTTTAGCAGTAAATTTGTGTGGTTGTAGATGTCACCGTGTCTCTGGACGTGTCCATGTAGAGTGTGTTGTAGGGCTGTATTCACGTTTAACTTACTATAAGAAAGATAATTGATTCTTACCAAAATCACACTATAAGAATTATATTTTCCCAAATTCAGAAATATAATATAAGCCAATATATAGCAACAACATTAAATAATACTCTCTCTGAAACGACGTCTGACGTAGAATTTGAAAAACTTCAACTTGTGTTTCGACCGAAG